CTGGAGCACCTGCAGCTCACCCATTCCTATGGGTGTCCAAATTCCCCTTGAGCAACCCGGACCTGCAAGTGCTGCATTCAAGGATGGTTCTACTGTGGCCTTTTGCAAAATCGATCCTGAGTTTCATTTTGGTAATGAGCCCTTGGTCTACACTGAGGGGCACCACAAAAAGCAGTGGATGTGAGTCACTGTGGCATCTCTTGTAGAGATGCTCTCCAGGATGCCACTTGCTCCAGGGAGAAATGCTTCTCACAGCTTATTTCAGGGTCAGGAAAAGCTGGACATCTCCTTGAAAACTGGTTTTACTTTTTAAACAGTGTAATTTCCTTGTTTGATTTGGATTCAAGGAAGCTCAGAGTCAAATATACCTCTTGTGACAGTGAAATATCTTACAAGTCAGCAGCAGCAAAGATTTACTGAGCACATAGTATGTGCTCAGCACTGTTCACACAGTCCTTTTCACTTAATCCTCACACAGCCCTGAGATGCCGATCAAATGATTAGCCCTATTGTAGTGGGCTGGATAATTGTTCCCAAAGATATCCATGCCCCGATACCCAGAACCTGTGAATGTTACCTCAAGTGGCAAAAAGGACTTTGCAGAAGTGATTAAGCTATAAGGATCCTGAGGTCGTGAGATTATCCTAATCACAAGTGTCCTCACGAGAGGGAGGCTGAGGGAGACTTGACACAGAAGAAGGAAGGAATGTGACAGCTGAGGCAAGGTGCAATGCTGCTGGCTTTGCAGATGCAGGAGTGGGCTGTGAGCCAAAGGATGCAGGGAAGCAGCTACAGAAGCCGGACAAAGCAAGGAGAGGATCCTCCCCTGGAGATTCCAAGTGAGGATGCCCTTTGACCAAGTGAAGCTGACTTGGGACTCCTGGCCTCCAAAACTCCAAAAGAATCAATGCACGTCCTTTAAAGCCACCAAACACCAAGGAAACCCACTTTACAATCAAAGACAGGAAACAGAGAGTATTGCCTAGGGGTTCGAATGATTCCAGACCCCAAGCTCCTATCCGTCACGCCGCTGCCCCTTCTGTTGTAAGTGTCCTGACCTCCCCAACCCCCCGGCTTTATTATTCCTCTCCCCTTCCCCACCCCACCGCCTCCCCTACCGTCTAGTTCACCTTCCGACCACGTGCACTTTTGTGATCCGCGTCACATCTTCGTGTGATAGAAGCAGAACCTCAGTAAACACATTGGTGGACATTTGGGGCATGTAGGTGGGGTGGGGCCCCTGGGCTTTTTCTAGCCCTGGAAATTGTCTTATGATTTAACAAGAGAAAGGCCCCTGACTGTTTTAGTTCCCCCTTTGGCTTTTATGAAGACTGTCGCTCTCTTCTTTGCTGCAGCAGTAACGGTTGGACAGAGCAGGACTTTCTGCTGTTTCAGACACTGTTGCTCACTTCCTGGTCTGTGTTCAGAGCCCCATACCGTTTATGAAATTCTTTCATTCACCTCAAGGATTTTTGTCTTATTCAGAACAGTTTCTAGCCGAAAATGCCCCCTCCCACTAAAATGATAAAACAAAAAGAGAAATGAAAAATGAAGGATTTTCTGCGCGAAACCCAGAAGACAGTAGGTCCTTTATTTTTGTCAGCTGATCCTCCCACATCTGTGCGCATGTCGGGAGCCCTGATGTGCCCAGGGATGTCTAAACCCCAGGCCTGGATGAAACATCACAACTGAAGGATCACATACTATGTCTATGTCATCAGTGTGAAGGCCTCGAGGGGCTGCCCCGCTGTGAATCCAGCTGCTGAGGGGGCACCTCCATCTGCGGAGGGGTATGCAGCCATTCAGTCCCCGATAGCTCAAAGGCTCTCAAGAGAGGAGGGAGGCCCATCCCTAGAGGAGCTCCCAGGACACTGCTTTCCTCTCTGCTGATCGCAATGTACACCAAAGGTTCCTTCTGACATAAAGCCTGTTGAAATTCTGCTGTTTAGCTACCATGATTTCTTTCCTGGGTGACTGACTCTCTAGGCTACAGATCCTGCCTGAAGCCTCAAACAGTTTTCAGTCTCATATCCATGCTCCTACCCTTACCTGAGGAATCTTGCCAAAATGCAATCCTTTCCTCATTGCCAAAAGGATACAGCCCAACCTTGTCTGGGTCTCTTGGTGTATTAGTCAGGGCTCTCCAGAGAAACAGAACCAATGGAATTACATATACGCATCTATTCTAGAAAGAGTTATTACAAGGTGTAGGCTCACATGAGGATGGAGCCTGAGAAGTCTCACGATCTGCCATCTGCAAGCCGGGGCCCCAGGAAGGCTGGTGGTGTAGTTTGAAGGCCTGACAACCAGGAGGGCTGCAAGCAGGAGCTCAGGGTCCCAGGTCTGCCGTTGGGCAGAGAGTGAATTCACCCTTCCTCTGCCTTTGTGTTCTACTCAGGCCTTCGCAGGTTGGGTGAGGCCCACTCACGTCGGGCAGACCATCTGCTTTACTCAGTCCCCTGATTCCAGTGTTAATCTCGTCTGGAAACACCCTCACAGACACACCCAGACATGAAGTTTAGGCAGCTGTCTGGGCATCCCATGGCCCAGTCACACTGACACATAAAATTACCCATCACACCTGGGCTCTGCCCACATCTCCCACCTCATCTCTCACCCTCCTCCACGTCCCAGCCCTACTGCAGCTCCGTGAACTCTAATCCTGGGCACGTTTCCCGAACTTCACACACGCTGTTCTCTGCCGAAATGCTCCTTCCTGCTGCCCACCTCCACTCCATTTGCCTTCTGACAAAATTCTAGACGGCAGTTGATTCAGAGTAGCCTCTGGAGTCAGACAGGCCTGGGATCAATTTATTTTAATTCTACAAATATTTACCTAACGCCTCTTCTGTGCCACTGGGGATGTGATTCTGCCACTATTACCTTTGTTGCCACGGAAAAGTTACCTGACATCTCTAATCCTCAGTTTACACATCTGTAAATGAGAATAATGCTTAGAAAGCCCTTAGCGCGGTGCCCGGCACATATAAACGTTCTATGAACATGAGATGCTATAATTACTGTTTGTATCATCCTTTAAGGTTGAACTCAAGCTTGATGACCTTTCCCTGATGGGTTTAGGTCCCAATCTCACCCTCTCCAACCATCATGTCCCCTGGTGCCGGACCTGTGCCTCTGTTCCAGCCCTTCACACACAGCCTGTACCCTGGTGCTTGTTTCATCCTCCCACCACTCTTGGACTAGGTCTGCGTCTCCGCCATTCCTTTTGCTGAGTGCCCGGAGCAGGGTTTGTGCTCAGCATTCATTGACCCCACGGAGCAACCACCCCTTCAGAGGGAGGAGTCTTCCCTGGGCGGGTGGGTGAGAAGCTCTGTTTTTTCCCTTATACATCTGCTCCTCTCGTCTCTCACGGCAGGGGCTTGCCAGGCTTGGACGAATGCTGCAGGCGTCAGGCCGGTCTGAGGGATCCACCAGCCATGGCAACCCTTCATGGGAGGACGAATTGGAAAAACAAATCCTGAGCAGGGCATTCATCTCGAGTCTTGCTTCGGGTCCTGCATCTGAAATGAATAGACACCAGCAGAAAGCATCCCATCCCCGCAGGCAGAGCAGGAGTCCGGTGCTCAACACTTCCAGCATCCAGCCATTCCTTCTCTTTTACACTAAAAAAATTTCTGTGTGCATTTCAATGTTCGATGTTCCTTCTTTTTAAAAGAGTAAAGTGTGGGCCTCTCTGAGGCAGCTCCTTGGGTGGCAGCCGTAGGGATCAGCTTCTGCTCAGTGTAACATCTACACTACTCCTCAGCTTATCATGCAGCCGACTTAGATGCTTAAAGGGCATCTCCTTTCTACCTCTTACAGTCCAAGAGCATTCTGACCCCTGTCTACCTCCAAAGTGGCATATTTCACAATGTCATGACTTCATGAGCCAGTCCCTCTAATCTTCATTCAAGCTGTGATCCTGAGACTGGGCTGCTTTCTGGCCACTCAGGCCCCCTTTATGGACTGAGTTCCCCAACCCCATCCATATGTTGAAGTCCTACCCCTCAGTACCTTCAAATATGGCAGTATATGGAGTAAGGGTCTTAAAAGGGTGATTAAGGTTAAACGAGGTCATACTTGTGGGCCCTGATCCAATATGACTGATGTCCTTATAAGAAGAGACAGAGGCATACTAGGAACATGTAGGCACAGAGCAAAGACCAAGTGAAGACAGGAGAAGACGGCCATCTGCAAGCCAAGGAGAGAGGCCTCAGGAGAGACCAACCCTTCCGACACTTGGTCTTGGACTTGCAACCTCCAGAACTGTGAGACAATACATTTCTGCTGTTTAAGCCTCCCAGTCTGTGGTGTTCTAACAGCTCCAGTAGATGAATATACACTCCAAAGACTCGGTTCCGACACTGATTTCGGCAGTTCCCAGCATTCTATTCATTAGCTTGCAATTTTGGTTGGTATCTACGTTTGCCCCATAGGGTAACGTAGCTCATTCCCTTTTGTTATGTCCAGCCCTAGAGAAAATCCTGGCATCAGCAGCTGCCAGATAAGTGTTTGTTGAATGAATGAATGATGTTGCTGCTGTGATAGAAGCTCTGGGAGTGTCATCAGAAGGACAGGAGTGTTCTCCTTTGGCGTAAATGACCTTTTCACTCAACTTGCAAATGAAATAACTTGGCAAGGTGTCCCGGGTGTACAATCGAGGGAGGCGACAGAAGCATCTCTTCCTGATCTTGAACTGGCGAGGTTTCTCACCAGTGTACTGGTGTACTCACCGGTCAGTCTGTTCTTTTTCGGGCTCTGTGTTGTTAATGAATAGCTGTATCTAGACTCTCACTGTCTGTTTCTGTTCCTCTTGTCATACTCTGAAGCTCTCTCCCGGCCGATCGCTGCTTCTGCCCAGGGCTCCCAGGGGTCCTCGCAGACCTGTTCGGCCACTGTCCCCCTCACCCTTCCCCCACCCCAACAAAACACTCCAGCAGCTCACATCTGTGGGCCTTAATTTCCCCATGAACAGAAATGGACATTCAGAAAGCGCTTACCACAGCTCTGGTAGAGGACTTGCAGGCTCTCATCCCTGCAGGCCGTGTGTGTGGGCCAGGCTTCCCCGCCACGGCCCTGGGGAGACAGCAGAGTCCAGACAAGAAAGGCGGCCATGAGCACCTGCATGGCGAGGTCCTGTGTGTGACCAACAGAAGAATAACTGGCCCAAGAGAAAGGGCCCTCAGGGTGCTTCCCCTCCTCTCATAAAGGGGTGACATGTTCAGTTTCACTTCTCATATTATATGCTCCTTGGGGAACCACTCTGAGAAGCAAAAGGCAGTTAGCAGAGGCCTTTGAATGCCGTTCCCCAGAACCTTTGGTGCTTGAATCAACGGGTGAGACTCGTCTGGGTCCGGGGTGGCTAATGTTTGACTTTCTGCTTTCAAAGAGAGGGGCTAGCAGGACCTTACAACTGGGCCCCCAAAGAGCCCTCCTTCCTGCCCCGCCCCCCTTACAGCCCTGCCCCCGGGTGGGGCAGAGAACTCAGGAAAGTGAAACCACAGGCCTCCACATGCTTTCCATCACTGGGTCCCCTGTCCCCAGGGGCCTCTGATGTGGGCTGTAGCCCAGGGGCCTGGCTGGGGCCGGCCAGCAGCGTTTGGCATTTGGGGGGCTGCAGAAGGACATTTGGGATCTGGAATTAGGCTTTTGCCTTGTTGGCACTTTCCTCTGGCTTCAGCTCCAGGATTAAGATTTCAGAAGTGACTGTGCAGCTGGGAGGACAGGGCAGTGCTCTGGGGGCAGTAGCTGTGGTCTCTGGAGACGAGGTGGAGAGAAGAGCCCTGAGAAGCGAGCTGGGTTCTATTTCTGGGCTCAGCTTGGTGGGAAGGGTGGGGAAGGACGGGGAAGTGAGGGCCTCCCTTTGAAGACTTGTTTTGGTCAGTGGCAGGATTATTAATGTCATGTCCCACTTTCTTTTCAAAGCCAAGAATCTGTCTCTCTATCCCCCTTCCTCTGTGGTCCTGCATCGTGACAGCAAAGTTTCTCAACCCTTATTCCCCACCCCCAGCCCCAGCTCCACCGTAGTTTAAGAGAACCAGAGTCAGGACCAAGGCCGGCAGATTTTAGAAGCAACAGAAAACACTATTTCCCTCGGGAGGAAAAGCGTTTCTCTGAGCGCCCTGGGTAAGTTCACGATTTCTGCCCATGGCTTAAATAAGAATTAAAGGCACTTCCAAACTTTTTTTTGTAGTAAGTGGAATTTAATTATCAGTGAAGACAAACAAATAAGTTGACTTACTTGATGGATACTTCGGATTTCTAGGGAGAGAGCAGGGCATAGTCACTTGGGGATTGATTTTCTTAAGTTCAGTGACAATGGCTTTTAATAGCGATTCTCAAAGTGTGGTTCCTGGACCACAAGTATCAATTCCACCAAGAGTTTGTTAGAAATGCAAGTTCTTGGGCTCCACTCAAGACCCACTGGAGCACGAACTCTGGGGTGGAGCTGCAGATGTGCTTTAATAAGCCCATCAGGTGGGTCTGACACAGGCTCCAACTGAAGGACCGCTGGCTTTTGTGAGACTCAAGGGGAAATTAGAGCCCCGCCCGAGAGGTGGGTAAGTTGCTGTAAGAAGAGACAAGGTAGCGCCATCTAGTCTGGGTGGGTGGGAGGGCGGATGGACTGAGAACAGGAGCTCAGGGGGTGAGAACTTATGGGGAGAGCCGTGGGCTCTGGAGGAAGCCTGAGAGCGCCGCTGATTCCAGGACAGCAAGGTGGAGCCTGGCTTTCCCTGGGGACTTCTGAGAGTGCCTTGTTGAGACAGCTGTGAACAGTCAGCCAGGGGGGCAGTTGAGGCCACACCCCTCGACCCAGCAGAGCAGCACCGCCCACCAGTTGAAGGACCCCAGAGCGCGGGGCAGGGAGCAGAAACCCAGACAGAGACCACGAGCGGCCCCAAGAGGGAAACAAGATCCTTATTCGAGGACCGGGCGACAGATTTTTGTAAATCAAAGGACCTAGCCATGAAAAGAATCATAATTCAGGGGTTGCACAGACGTCTAGAAATATGGACTCTGGTGACGCGGTGGCTCTGGAGGAGTGGTTCTCAGACTTGAAAGAGCATCACCATCACCTGGAAGGCTCATTCACACAGATTACACAGTCTAAGAAGTCTGGGGTCTGGCCCGAGAAGCTGATTTCTAACAAGTTCCCAGGTGAGGCCACTGCTGCTGGGCTGGGGGCCCAGGTTTGAGAACCTCTGCTCTAGATGATGGGATTTGGTGTGTTGCAGAGTGTACAATTTTTTAAAAATCATCTAAGTTCTTTTTTGGTTTTTTTGGCGGTACGCGGGCCTCTCACTGCTGTGGCCTCTCCCGTCGCGGAGCACAGGCTCCGGACGCGCAGGCTCAGCGGCCATGGCTCACGGGCCCAGCCGCTCCGCGGCGCGTGGGATCTTCCCGGACCGGGGCACGAACCCGTGTCCCCCGCATCGGCAGGCGGACTCTCAACCACTGCGCCACCAGGGAAGCCCCCTTCTACTCTTTTAAATAATCCTCTTCCTCTGTGTCTCAAGCTGCTTTCTTTCCACAGAGGTTCGCCTGGGGATGGCGCTTTTCTTTTCTTGCCAGGTGAAAACGTTCTCGTCAGGCTGGCTGTCACTGACAGTGTTCTCAAGAAAACTCTGATGTTTAAGGAGAGGCTTTAAGAATAAAAGGGAGGCTGAGGGTAAGAGTCCAGCGACATGAGGAAGTGAGGGTGAAGCTCCTCCACAGGAGAAGATAAGATTACACATATGTATGGAATCTAAGAAAAAAAAAAAAGGTCATGAAGAACCTAGGGGTAAGACGGGAATAAAGACACAGACCTACTAGAGCATGGACTTGAGGACACGGGGAGGGGGCAGGGTAAGCTGGGACGAAGTGAGAGAGTGGCATGGACATATATACACTACCAAACGTAAAATAGATGGCTAGTGGGAAGCAGCCGCATAGCACAGGGAGATCAGCTCGGTGCTTTGTGACCACCTAGAGGGGTGGGATAGGGAGGGTGGGAGGGAGGGAGACGCAAGAGGGAAGAGATATGGGAACATATGTATACGTATAGCTGATTCACTTTGTTATAAAGCAGAAACTAACACACCATTGTAAAGCAATTGTACTCCAATAAAGATGTTAAAAAAAAAGAACTATGCAAAAAAAAAAAAAAAAGATCACACCAGGTTACTGGATTATGCTGCAGAGAGCGAGGGAAAGGAGAGACAAAGGAGTGGAGGGAAGGAGGGAGACGTGAGCCGGAAAGTCTGCTGCTGGGTAGGCGGAAGCAGCCGGGAGAGCCCAAGGTCATCTAAGGACAGACAGATTCTAAATTGCTTGCTGTGGGGATGCTGTGTGGTGCCCTCTCCACCCTGTGACTGTCACAGGTTCTGTGGAGACTTACACACTCCAGGAATGCGCGTGTGCACACCTGTTGCATGTGCATGTGTGTGTGTGCATGTGCATGCGTGTACGTGTGTGCATGTGTGTGCGTGTGTGTGTACTGAGAAAAGGACAGGGTTTCACGTTGGCCTCAGCTTGTGTTTCCCCAGGAAACACAGCTCCCTTTGGAAAGTGGTTCAGTCCCGGGGTGGGCCCTGCACTTTCGCAGTGCACGGCAGGGGCTTCAGGCCAATTCTATCCACGTTTCGCGTGCCAGCAGCTGGCCGACAGCCCTGACTATACAACCCTACTGATAGAGGACTCTCGCTAACAGAGGCAAATGTGTCTTCACCGTCTTTTGCATATTCAACTGTGGCTGCTCTCCTTTCATGCCCTTCCAATATTTATGATATTAGGTAACATTTTCTCTTCATCTAGCACTGCCGCTTTGCTCCCTTTCTCTGTGGCCTGTCCCTGGGTTTCTGCCACGTTGCAGAGGGAAGAGACAGGTGTGATCTCCTCTCACTTTTGTCTTCCAGATTGAGTGCCACCGAAAAACCATTCCCCTTGTGTGTAGAAGTCAGGAAGCTGTGCAACTTCCTGTGTAACAGCATTTAGCGCCACCCCCCCCCAACCCCCTCCAGGGCTGACTGCTGAGGTTTTGCTCTTTATTTTCACACCTACTGTTCGTTACGTGGACTACATGAGCATCTTGTAGGGTTGGTACCTGCCAGCTAGGCTTTTCACTAGAGTCTTTCCACGGCCTCCCAGGCTTCCGGGACATGCATCCCAAGGAAAGTGTGAGATCCCACTAAAACCCCCTGGAGTCTTGATATCATGTAGTATATGTCTGTATCTGATAGAAAAGCATAGAAACAGTCTGCTTTCTACAGAAAACAGGGAAAAATGCATCTATTCATCTACTTGCTTCAGATTCATTCGCTCATTTATTCAGCAAATATTTATGAAGCACTCTAGCATGGCAGCTATGATTTCAAGTGCCAGGAAAACAGAAAACAAAGTTTTTGTTATCATAGAGGGTACTTTCTAGTGGGGGGAGACAACAATCAACAGATTTATTTAGTATCATTGTTTATTAAAGAGACTTTGCTTCTTGAAAGGTTGCTTGGGTTTTCCATAGAGAATTGGACTGAGCTTTCCAAAATATTTTCAACTTATTGCGTATATACACTAAATTAAAAAAAAAATACCCCAGATTGGAAGCTCACCAGAGCTTTCTGATAATTCCTCCAACAGACAAACTGTAGCAGGCCTATCTGAAATATTGCTCCCCAATTTCCTTATTATTGCCCCAGTTATTATCATGACTAGTGTTTAAGTAACATTTATTAATGTTTAATTATCCTGGAGACACAACAGGCAAAGTACTTGGTTTCTAAACGGGTCTATAAGTCCTATGACAAACTACAAACAGAAATGAATTTTGCTTGTTTGAGGAACACATATGCTGGACCAAGGAGGAGGTGGGCTCTGTAGGTCAATCTGATCAATTTCCCAATGATGAAAAGAGCAAATTGCAGTATCTGATTAGGGCAGAAGAAACTGCTCTGAGATTCAGGGAGGGTAGGTCTAGTCTGAAAGGACTGATACACGTTGCCTAAAAATTCTCTACAGCATGGGACAAACCAGCAACTTGTAGCTAAACCTCTGCTCAAGATGAGAATGCTCTCAAGATTTCATTCGGATAAGATCGAAGTGATTTTAATAAGCTGAAAAAAAAGCATTCGGAAGGAAACCAGGAGTGTGGT